ACAGCGCGCGCTCTGGGTTTGTGAACGTGGGGTTTTCCTCACATTTTCTCAGGGCTTGTGCAGCGGTGGCCGCTGAGGAACTGGAGTTGTGTTTGCAGGGGCATTTTTTACCAGAGTGTTTTGTTTTGTCCTTGGGTCTGACGTAAATGAGGTTTGGACTGGCCTGATGCTTCATCTGCACGCTTGTGCTGCTTTGCGCTGTTAAAGGTCTCAGAGCAGATTCCTGGTTCTTTGATGGTTCTCGGGGGATGTCCTGGTAGCTCTCACTACAGCCTTGTCAGAGGGGCTGCACATGACTGATTGGGGCAGGGGAAAAAAAGAGCATTTTACAAAAACATAACTTTGCCACCTCTCGCACCTGCACCTATGTGTGTACTTAAAATACAAAACCTCATAAATTAACCAGACTAATAAGCAAAATATATTTACCCAGCTTCATCGATCCATCTGTCACTGATACTGGTGAATTTTTCTTTTCAGTTGTCTCTTTCCTTTTTCTTTTGAGCATTTTTACCCCCCCAGGTTTTGACCGTGCTGTAAAGCAAACCCCATTAATTGGAAACACACCATCACCATCAGTTTGTAAAAACCACTTATGTTTTACACACACACACAAAACCCCAGCAGCTTTATAAACACACCCTTACCATCAGTTTAAAACAGTTTGCAACAAAATACTTTTCAATACCCCCCCTCACCCCCACATGCTTTTAAAAAGACCCCTGGTTGTTCTGTCCCCCACCCCACAGCCATGTGGGCTTGGGGCCTTTGGCTTTTTTTAAAAAAAAAACCAAGCCAAAATGTTACTTAGTATTAGCCCCAAATGCCCCCTCCCATTTAAAAAACAACAACATTGGGCACAGTAAAAAGCCCCTGTTAGCTGGAAACAAACCATCAGTTTGCAACCAAGCACTTTTAAAACCCTGCATCTAGGTCTTTCACAGGCCCCTCTCTCACTCACACACACCCCAGCAGCTTTATAAACACACCCTTACCATCAGTTTAAAACAGTTTTGCAACAAAATACTTTTCAATAAACCCCCCACATGCTTTTAAAAAGACCCCTGGTTGTTCTGTCCCCCACCCCACAGCCATGTGGGCTTGGGGCCTTTGGCTTTTTAAAAAAAAAACAAAAAACAAGCCAAAATGTTACTTAATATTAGTCCCAAATCCCTATTCAAACTAAGTAATACCTGAAGTTATTACTTAAGTTATAACTACACTTAAAATGGTTTTTACCGTGGCCTGGTGATGAACTGTTTACAATGGAACCAGTAACTTTAAGTTGCAGATCACACTGTAATAAAGATAGACATCCTTATTTACTCAGACAGCATGGCCAAAGCATGGCATTATAGAATATATATTTTCAATGTTAAAAACAGAGAACATACCTCCACTTGCAGTCCAGCAGCAATTCAAGAGAGTTTCTGTTGAAAGAGACAGTCTCCAAGCTACCTGAGGTTTTTATACCATCCTAACTCTTTTGTTTCAAAGTAGTTAGCAGGTTGATTGGATCACTCCTCCCTAGCATTCCCTTTTTTGTGATCTGGGGAAGGGGTGGGTATAAGTTTTTTTTCTTTTTTTTTTCCTCTTTTTTTTTTTAAGTTCAAATACATTTTATTTTTCCCCACCCCCTGTAGGGCCTTCTTATAGTAACCATTTCAAGTGAGGGACCCTTTGCAGATATCAATGAATGTCTTGGGACTTGTTTGTATTTTTTGGGGGGGGACCACCTCCCTTACTATGGGTGCACCCCCATCAAAATTAACCCTATGACAACCAGGGTGAGTAATCACAGTCACCCTGGCTATTCAGTGAGGGGTGGGGATGGTTAAACCCATTCAGTTCAACAGAATAAGTCAGTTCTATTGTACTCAACCACATGTCTGAACCATCCCTGTTTGTTTTATTGTAAACACACTTTTAGGATTTTTTTCCCTTCCCACAACATACATTTCAGCTTTTTTTTTTTTTTTTTTGCTGTAAATGAGTCTCTCTTACACAAAAGACACAAGAGCTAGGTTCTCACAAGCAATTTTATTTTATTTAAAAGACATACAGCTCCTTGAAAACAAACCAAGATGCTCCATTAAAAAAGAAAGAAAAAAAGACTTTAAGCTCCCTTAGGGGCCAGAGACCTTTTAACAGAAATATAGATAGTCACAAAGCCCTTTTCAATAGATTTTTTTTTTTAAATTTACAGCTACCAAGTTTTATATCGCATGTTTGGCCCCTCACCATTTTCTAACTTAATCCTTTTAGATTTCTTACAAATAGAAATCTTTTCTTTTTCTTAAGCAGGGTTCTGTAACTTTTTGTGCAGACCAGACGGTCAATATAACGCTCTAAGCAGGCATCTTCCAGTTTGGTCATTTTCTTTAAAACATGGTCAGGGTCTCCACTGAATTGCACAGCATTTATCAAGGTCACCCCTTGTGCTAAATGTTCTTGGGTTAGGCACAGACATTGCATAGCATAACCTATGGCAATCACAGTGTTTAATAAGCTTTCCAAATACAGCTCAGCACACAGGCCCCGGAGCTTGCAGTTTATATCCACTGAAGTCCAAGTCACACAGTCATGGTGCCGCTGGCCTGGTGCACCTATGACACAGCCCTCACAATCTTCAAAAAGCTTTTGCCTAAGACAGTGATTAAGAACAGAATGACAGGTTTCAGAGGAACAGCCGTGTTAGTCTCTATTCGCAAAAAGAAAAGGAGTACTTGTGGCACCTTAGAGACTAACCAATTTATTTGAGCATGAGCTTTCGTGAGCTACAGCTCACTTCATCAGATGCATACCGTGGAAACTGATAGGTTAACAATATTGCTAGGTGGGGTGAGGGAACCATTGCTGTGGCCCCTTGTAGCATGTAGTAGTTTAGAAAGGTATGCATCTGATGAAGTGAGCTGTAGCTCACGAAAGCTCATGCTCAAATAAATTGGTTAGTCTCTAAGGTGCCACAAGTACTCCTTTTCTTTTTAAGAACAGAATAAACAGCAACGCGTACAATAGTCCGCATGACTTTTTTACGCTCACGACGTGGCACTGGCTCAGTCAGTTCCATGCCAAGCCTCCTCCTAAACTCCTCATAGCCGTCATCCTCGGAGTCCTCTTCAACATTTTGTATCGGCGTTGAGCAAAAACAAGGTGGGCCCGGTTCATCTTCGCTGCTTGGTGAAACGCTGTCCAGAGTCTCCGGGTCCTCTAGAAAGGCATCATAGAGCTGTTGAGAGATTTTTTTTTCAAAAAAGAAACAATAGCATGGCTTGATTTTTGATTTACACAATCCCTGGTTCCTAGCCCCCGTTACACCCCCACCCCACGTCACTTCTTAAGCATTCATTTACCTGAGTCACGTCTTTTTCATTCACGTTGTCCGCTCGTAACTCCCCCAAGCCATGATCACTTTCCACCTCTCGGGGGGTGGACAACAAGAGGCCATCACGCTCATCGTGGTGCCTCACAAGCGGTTGGGTTTCAGGTTCCGGGGTATCCATCAATGGCTGGGCCAAAGGGCTCCCCTCAATCGCCCCCTCCTCCTCGGAACTCTCGCTGATGCAGCGCTTTCTCCGCGGTTTGTTGAAGGCCCTCGGGGCTAAAACAAAATCCGAAGTTCTCACGGGGGTGGTGAAGGAGTCCATGTTTCCACGATTTCTAAAACACGCTCTCGGTAAAAGACAGCCTCTTCTGCCTGACGCTGGGCCTTATGGGGTGATGGTGCTGCACTCTGATTGGCAGAGGGGTCATACGCCCCTCTTCTGGGCGGTTCACCCCATCCCAGAACCTGCCCTATTTTGGTCAAATCTGCTCTCGGGCCGGCCTGATTGGTAGAGGTTGGTGGGAGGAGTTGTTAGAGGGGTCACACAAATCATTTCCGGACGGGTCACCCCGCCCCCGGAACTCATCCTAATTGGTCAAATCTCCTCTTGGTCCTATCGGAACAAAACCCCTCCTGATTGGTAGCGGGGTGGGGGGAGGAGTTGTTAGAGGGGTCACAAGACCCACTTCCAGAGAGGACACCCCCACCCCGGAACTCGCCCTGATTGGTCAAAGCTCCTCTCTGGGCGGTCCTACAGGGGCGAAACCCATCCTGATTGGTAGAGGGCAGTGGGAGGAGTTGTTAGAGGGGTCACATGACATACCTTGCTTCCGGTCACGTGGCAGCCTTGACCCTGGAAGTAATACCCCATGGGGCGGGACTTCCGGTGGGGGGGCAGAGGTCAAGGGATGGGGTTAAGGGGTCAAGGGGTGGGGAGGGTGTCACATGACACACCTTGCTTCCGGTCATGTGGCGGCCTTGACCCCGGAAGTAACAACTCATGAGGGTGGAACTTCCGGTGGGCGGGGCTAAGGGGTCAAGGGGTGGGGCTAAGGGGTCAAGGGGCGGGGTTAGGGTTTGATCGATGGTGGGGCCCCCTTGGGCTGGGGGGCGCGGCTAAGGGGTCGGGGGTCAAGGGGTCAAGGGGCGGGGTTAGGGTTTGATTGACAGTAGGGCCATTATACTACTGGTATGGCTGGAGCACACTGTGCTTTGGCTATGCTCTGCTTCCCAGGGCTCATAGGGGACCATGAGAAGCAAAATGTAAGTTAGAATAGACTTAAGGCTGCTCTGACTTACAATGAGCCATAGCGGGGCCCCTGAATGAGCTCAAAATATGGGGAGCAAAAAGATGGATCTCCCCTTTTCTGAAAATACTGTTTCCTTACGGACCTGCTGCCATCCTAAAAGTGAAGCTGTCACATACATACCATGTAGTCATGTCTACATACAGTTTGGGATCAGCTTGTGAAGTGTTTGGTGATCTTTTGATGTGGAAATCTCTCTGTATGAATTTAAGATACTTGGAAATGCAAAATTATAGGTCAGTGTAGATTCAATAGGACATGGTGATTGTAATGATAGTGGTGATCATTCATCATTAGCACTCTTTGTTTGGTTTGTTAGCTAGTTCTTCAGCCTGTTTAACATTTTCTGAAATTGGTTTTCACTCTAGGTTTTGGATCTGCACCTCGCCTAACTATAGACCATCAGCAGAATAATTCAGTCACTCTGAGGTGTATGTCCCAAGGGTGGTACCCACAACCTGAAGTATGCTGGACTGACAGCACAGGACAAAACATAACTGCTATGGCTGAAACAAGAATCCAAAAAGATGGGACAGATCTGTATCAAATCCACAGTACGCTCAGGGTCGCAGATACTGCTTCTGACACTATCTCATGCACTATAAGAAACCCCTTGCTGAAGAGGCACCGCAAAAAAGTTATTGCAATTTCAGGTAAGAGATGCAGTACTGTCAAAGTAAATATTCCTGCTGTTACTTACGAAATCGGGCTAAACGCATCTGCCTTGTGGCCAACCATGTCATTCAAGGCTTGCCTACATGGAGCACCAACACGCATTATTGGGGTGTGATTTCTAAAGTGTATTAATGGGTTGCACGTTAATTAGTCCATGTAGACATCCAGCTGGTACTCACTAAAGTTTCCCTGGTGTGCTTTACTGTATTATTGTTTGAAACAGTAATATGGTAAATCACACTAGGGAACTTTTAGTGTGCATCATCAAGGTCTACACAGAGCAATTAATGAACAACACATTGGTGCACTTTATTAATTACACTTCTGTAGTGCCCATTACCCCACTGTGTAGACAAGCCTTTGGTACAGCATAGTGAAGACCTGTACAACTCAGCATTTCTTTTCAAATACTATTCTTGAGTTCACCACAGATGTAAAAGATAGTAGAACTCTGATTCTCTTTTCACTTATCTGTGTGTATATTAGGATTGACCCCCTGAAGCTAATGAATTTACACTATTGTAGAAACAGTATCAATAAGAGGAGAATTAGGGCTGCCTCTTTTTCACTCTCTCTCTTGGACATTAATATGAGGCATTAGGTTTCTTTGATGTGGAGGCAGAATATGACATAATTACCACTGTAACTGGAGAAAATGCCATTCTTCCCTGCCGGCTGATTACGAAACATCTGCCCCCTAGCATGGAGTTGCAATGGAGGAAAGTTGGACCTGGAAAGGATAAGATAATCTATTTCTATCTCTATGATGAAAGCAGCCCCCTGGTTAATTCTTATTCACAGAGTGACAAATGCCCAATGAGCTATTTGTCTCCAAATGGAGACAACAGCAGAGAATGGCTCAGGAAGGAATATGAAAAAAAGGCAGAAGTTTTTAAAGGAAAAGAGTTTGGGAAAGGAAATATTTCTCTGAAACTGAATAATATTCAGGTGGAAGATGAAGGGAAATATGTATGCTCTGCCTCAGCCAACTTTTTTCACAGAGAGATCATCATTGAAGTCTTGGTTATAGGTAAGAAAAGCCTGGAACTGGAGAAAGCAAATGTAGCAGAACTCTGTTATTCTATCTCCCCAAGAGCCAGCATGGGTTTGTCCCTTCTCTACAGCACATTTTCTATTGCTTTGTCTATTATTGCTTTAAAACTCCTAAATAATGGAGTTTCCACTTCTTCCATTGGGAAGCTACTACATGGTCTAATGCATCTCACTGTGAGATCAGTTTCCTGATTTCAGAAGTGATTTCAGACTGTCTGCTATTAGAAGAGGTATCAATAATAATCACTCTCCCCTTTATTTTCCTTTAAAATGACAATTCTTGGAGCCGTATTAGTAAATCTATTTCCCCAAAATTAAAGGGATGTGAGAGTGAAATTTAAACTACTTTTTAACAAGCCTTTTTGAAGTATAATAATAATAATAAGAAGAAGAAGTAGAAGCCATAACAACATACAATCAAAGAAATGTACGGCTGGAAAGGACCTCAAGAAGTTATTATGAGAGTTATTATGGCAACAATTTGTTTACAACAGAGAACAGATGTTTTTCTTTCCACACTCAGGTTGAAAAAATACATTTTATTCCATGAGGATAAAATTTTCAAAAGTGGCAAAAAGATTTAGGATCTTGAGTCCCATTTTCAAAAGTTACTTAGTTGTTGTCTACACAGAGGCACTCTGGAAAATTAATCCCAATTAACTAAAATTTGAATGTAAAGTGGATTAGTTAAATTTCATTAACCCCCTGTGTGGACATCTCTATTCAGAATTAAAGTTGCCTGAATTCGATTTGTGAACTAAGCTAAATCAAATTAAGGCCACTTTAATTCTGAATAAGAACATCCACATGGGTTTACTGTGGTTTAACTAATCCATTTTAAAAGTTGATTCAGATCAACCTTCCTGAGTGTTCCCAAGCAGACAAGCCCTTAGATACTTTGGAGACTAAATCCCATTAATTTTTCAGGAGACTTAGGCTGGGTCTACACTATAGATCTATGTCAGTATAACTATGTCACTCAGGGGTATGAAAAATCCACACCCCATGCGACGTAGTTATACTGACCTAACCCCCAGTGTACACAGTGCTGTGTCGATGGAAGAGCTTCTCCCACCGATATAGCCATTGCCTCTTGGGGAGATGTATTAACTATGCCAATTAGATGTAGGAGTGTCTTCATTTAAATGCTACAGCAGCGTAGCTGCATCGGTGTAGCTGCACCAATCCTGCATTTTAAGTGCAGACCTGCCTTTAGGCTCAGAAGTACATAAATCACCTTTGAAAGTGGTTATTATTATTATTATTTGTGCGAGACAGACAGGCTAAGAAAGAGTCCCTGACCCAAAAAGTTTATAATGAAATAGGCAAGACAGACAATGGGTGGAAGAAAGGAAGTGTTATAATTCCCATTTTATAGAAGGGGAACTAAAGAACTGAGAGTAAGTGACTTGCCCCAAGTCGCACTGGTAGTCTGTGGTAGAACCAAGAACAGAGCCCAGATCATCTGCATCCTAGTCCAATGAAAGCCTTAACCGTAAGCCCATCCTTCCTTTCTATAGAATTCTGATCAGTTTTAAGATATTTTTAAAAAATACTTTTTACCTATGGAGCAAGCACTAGAGCAATGGTTGACCCATGCCATCCTTGTATGAGGAAATTTCTACTACCAGTAACCAGCTATTTTTCTGCTACTGTCTATAAAAGGTTATTATGAAGTGACTGTATCTAGGAAGGGAAGTGCTGGTAAATTGTATAGTCTATTGCTAAACCACACTTTGATTCGGTATGAAATATATTCAAAATACAAAATAACCAATGTCAGTCAGGTTAATTGCTAAAAGTCAATAATAGTGTGGCACAGGAAGAAAGGTTCAATGTGGTACCTGTTTTGGGGACGCTGTCTCATGCATTGTTGTTAAATTTGCCTTACGCATTGTGTTTCCAAAGTTACACATTTCAGCCTGGAGTATTCATAAGATGATTTTACAAGTTAAAAAACTCTTTACACATCACTAAAATCCAACCCAACAATTCATCCCGGTTCCTTAACTAGCTGTTTTGTATCTTCCTTATCTTTGTTTTGGATACAACCATTCCAGGTACCAGTCTCCTGCTTGTATATGGGCAAAACATTAATGTGTTTTGCCTTTGACAAGTTTCTTATTTTCTAATGCCAAAACTGAAGTCAGCTTTTAAGTATTATAGGATAGTTAGCATTAATGAACAGGATTATAAAAAATACATACGTCCATTCTGGGCATGTAACTACGAGAAATGTGTATACAGTATAATGTTATATTGAAATTGTGTGCTTAATGAATATTAATATGTGGTATCAATAATAATGATTGACAATGTGATATATAGAGAGATAAATTATTTGTACACTGATGGGAGCTAAGATTTTCTCTTGGTGGAGTACATTCTTCTTAGTGAAAGCTTGTATGGGCAAATTCTGCCCTTAGTTAAACCCCTGTAGCACTACAGACTTCAGAAAGGTCATACGATAGTAAATGAGAGCAACTTCTGTCTTCTCAATATTTTACCCAATGTGTTTATGTTAAATCACTATTAAAATAATCCACCAGCATACACACACACCTTTTTTGGTATAAAAAGGAAAACTGATTTGGGGTGAAGCAGTGAATAAATATCCAGATGTCATGTTGCTGAGATCTCTTAGCAATGTGTCCTTCCTGAACATTTTCTTTTCCATTTCTCTGCACTAGAAGATGTTTTTTCATTGTGATAAGGAAGCCTTTCTTACAGGGTTAGGGGATAAACCATCTCTGCAAATGGATCAGAAGGAGAATGTATGTAGGTATAGATGTAAATCAGGAGGATGGTATCCAAAACCTAAAGTCCTTTGGAGGAATCCCAAAGGGGGAAACATAACCTCAAAGGCTAAGACAACCCTAAGAGAGGATGACCAGAAACTTTTGGTCATCCTTTGGGAGGGGGAGGGATAGCTCAGTGGTTTGAGCATTGGCCTGCTAAACCCAGGGTTGTGAGTTCAATCCTTGAGGGGGCCATTTAGGGATCTGGGGCAAAAACTGGGGATTGGTCCTGCTTTGAGCAGGGGGTTGGACTAGATGACCTCCTGAGGTCCCTTCCAACCCTTGTATTCTATGATTTTCACAGCAGAGAGCTCCATTACTGTGCCATGTGTGACCTCTGAGGTTACCTGCACCATCATCAACACAGAATTAAAGGTTTCAGAGTAGCAGCTGTGTTAGTCTGTATTCGCAAAAAGAAAAGGAGTACTTGTAGCACCTTAGAGACTAACAAATTTATTTGAGCATAAGCTTTCATGAGCTAAGTGAGCTGTAGCTCACGAAAGCTTATGCTCAAATAAATTTGTTAGTCTCTAAGGTGCCACAAGTACTCCTTTTCCTTTTACAGAATTAAAGATCAGTCAAGAATCAAGCACCCACCAGTTTGCTATGTAACTTTTTTATACCAAGCTATTTTTTTCACTTTGTTAATTCTTGTTGCTAGTGTTTACAGGCTGTTCCAGGCATACAATGGGGTTCTTGTTCTATTTGGCCCTTACGTATTACATTATGATGCCTACCAATAACCATGGAGGCTTATATTCTGAGCTGTCTTCTTAGGTCATCTCTATCTCTATCCCCAACCCCATGTCAGTTCGGACTTTGTCCTTCAGGATGCTGAATGCTTTATGCAAGTCTAGCATCTTCTTGCAGAACCACTCTCTAGTGAGAATTGTTTTCTCCTTAGCAGTTCAGGCTTCAGTTGTCAGCATGATATTTTCTGGAGCTGCCTTCCATGAGGTGATATGAAATGGTCACCTAAGAATATGATAAAAAATCATTATATTACCACATTCAATTTGAACCCACAGTTGTTCTGGCTTGAAGCAGTCCAGGTCTCAGGGCAAAAGCAGAAGGGCAGCTTTGCTGTAAACAGGGCATACTGCACAGAGGTGTTTCAGTTGTTCAGG